TGTCAAGCTACGTGTGAGGTTGTGTGTGAGGTGTGTCTGTGAGTGTGTTTTTGAGGCGTGCGTGTGAGCGTGTGTGTGGGTATGTGTGTCAGGATGTATGTGAGGGGTTTGCGTGAGAGCTGCATGTGAGTGTGTGAGAGGGTGTGTGTGAGGGTGCGTGTGAGGGGTACACACCTCTGAGGGTGTGTGAGAGTGAATGTATGTGTGAAGTTGTGTGTGAGAGGATGTGAGAGGGGATGTGTGAAGGTTGGTGTGAGGGTGGGTGTGACTGTGTGTGGGGGGGGGGCTGTGTGAGAGGATTGTGTGTGTGTTTGAGGGAATGAGAGAGGTGTTATGTGAGGATGTGTGAGGGTAAGTGTGAGGATGTGTGTGAGGGGGTATGCGACGGTTGTGTTTGATGGGTGTGTTTGAGGGATGTGTGAGGTTTGTGAGGTTGCATGTGAGTGGTGTGTGTAAGGGTTTATGTGAGTGGTTGTGAGAGGTATAGTGTGCTGATGTGTGTGAGGGTGTGTTTGACGATGCGTGTGAGTTGTTGGGTGTGAGGGTGTGTGTGAGGGTTTGTGTGTGAGCGGGTGGTGCCTGAGTGTGAGAGTTTTGTAAGGGTTTTTTGTTTGAGGGGATAGGTGAGTGTTTGGGTGAGCGTGCATGTGAGGGTCTATACGAGGATCTGTGTGAGGAGGGAAGGTGTGTGAGAGTTATGAGTGGGTGTGTGAGGGCGTGTGTGTATGACAGTGTAATAATATTATTAATAATAATAATAATAATCCTTGCATTTCATATAAAGCTTTCCAGCATTTTTCGACGTCTCAAAGCGCTTCACAGAATATAATATGAAGTGAATTGACCGAACATTTGTGGTCAAAACGCGCCAGCGAATTGCGCACAGCAGCGACCCACAAACAGCCGTGGATTTAAAATGACCAATTTAGTATTGTTTTTCTTTTTTGGAGGGATTCTTATCAGTTGTGTGGAGTAAGGAAACTTGCCCAAGGATTCACCCTGCCTGAGATTGAACCCATGTGTCTCGCTTGCAAGGCGAGTGCTCTAAACACTGAGCTTCAGGACTCCACATACAGGATGTGTGTATGAGGGGGTGTGAGATGTTGTGTTTGAGGGTGTGTGTGAACGTGGGCGTGAGGGAGTGTGGGAGCGTGTATGTGAGGGTCTTTATGACGGTCTGTTTGAGGCTGTGTGTGAGGGGCTGTGTGAGTGGGTGTGTGAGGTTAATTATTTTGTGTGCGTGTGTGCGTGACTGTGTGTGTGAAGGTGTGCGCGAGGCTGTGCGTGAGAGGGTGTGAATGTGTGAGTGACGTGTGTTTCAGGGTTAAGTCTGTAATAGACGTATGTGAGATGTGTGTGTGTGTATGAGGTGTGTTTGTGGGTGAGGCGTGTGTGAGGGGATGTTTGTAAGAGGTGTGAGAGAGAGCTGTGTAACGTAAGCAGCGCGTATGTGAGAGTTGTGTGTTTGAGGGGTGTGTGTCAGGTGTGGTTAAAGAGTTTATGTATGGTTTGTGTGAGATGTGTGTGAGCGTTCTGTGCGAGTTTTGTGCGTTACTAGTATTCTGAGGTTTGTGTGTCAGATATGAGTGTGTTGTGTATTCTTTCAGGTGTGTGTAAGAGGTGAGTGTGTGAGGCATGAATACGTGTGTCTACGATAGGTGTTGATGAGGTGTCTGTGAGGTGTGTGAGTGGTGTGTGTGAGGGCTGTGTTTGAGTAGTGTTGTGAGGGGTGTATGTTTCAGATGTGTGTGAGGTGTGAGAGAGAGTTGTGTGTGAGAGTTGTGTGTGTGTGTAATGTGTGTGTGCAAAGCGTGTGTGTGTGAGTTGTGTGTGTGTGTGTGGGAGGATGTTGCGATTATGTGCATATGTGAGTAAGGAGTCGGTATGTTTATGTGTGAGGGAGTGTGTGGAGGGTATGTGTTGGGAACCAGGTGAATACAAGTCTATTGACACGGGTTCAGGGTGAGAATGGGATATACTTACTTGGGCTGATGTTGTCTATAATCTGTCTCCAGACTGTGTTCTTCAAAGGCCATTTGTACTTGGCCACAGGCAGCTCAGCCTCACACACTGACAGATCAAATCCCTCGTCACTGACCCTGAAATATGACACGATCACATTATATAGTGAAACTGCACCTTGTGGTTGGTTTGCGGTTCAATTCTGGGATATTTGGTAAAGATCATTTCATACCTTCTGTTGCCAGCAGCTTCCTCCTAATATAATCAAACACAGACAGATGTTAGCTCGCACTGAGTCAACGCCGACAACAAAAAGTTACATGTGGACTGCGTCTCTGAAGTCTAAATTCAATCTCTAAACTCTTTATCAATCACAATTAGATTGTTTGCTCCAGAATTTTGTGTAACTGTTACTGAGCGACATTATATTGTCATCTCTTTACCTGCAGGAAGGTGGGAGCGTCTTTTCCCATCTGTGTCTGTAACTCGGAGAGTTGTTGTTCAACAGAATTTAATTTGCACTGAATCTCTCGCAGATTTGCCTCCATTCGCTTTAAAATCTCCTCCTCTCGCTGTCTGAGATCCCCCATCACTCGCTGCTCTCTGTCAGTCAGACTCTGGTGCATTTTAGCAAACTCACCCGTGACGTGGGTCTGCAGACTGTTCACCTGTTCCTGAAAATATCAGACATCCAAACATTACACACAGTAACCAGAGACACTGAGACATCACACCGTCTACAAACAGTGACCAGTGACACTGAGACATCACACCGTGTACACACAGTAACCAGAGACACTGAGACATCACACCGTCTACAAGCAGTGACCAGTGACACTGAGATATCACACCGTGTACACACATTGACCAGAGACACCGAGACATCACACCGTGCACACACAGTAACCAGAGACGCTGAGACTTCACACCGTGTACACAGTAACCAGAGGCACTGAGACATCACACCGTGTACGCACACTAACCCGTGTCACTGAGACATTACACCGTGTACACAGACTAACCAGAGACACTGAGACATCACATTCTGTACACACAGTAACCATAGACACTGAGACAACACACCGTGTACACACAGTAACCAGAGACACTGAGACATCACACCGTGTACACACAGTAACCAGAGACACTGAGACATCAATACGGAAATCTCACCTTCAGTTGAGAAATCTTTTCTTTCTGTTTGGCTTCTGCTTCTATAGCTGTTTCCTTTCTCTGTGTGAGAGAAGCTAAGGAGGATTTCAATTTATCCTGTAATAAATACACAGAATTAACGTATTTGAAGGTGAAAATATCAGGTGGATCAGATATAATCCTTCTTGAGGGGTATTCTTACCTTAAAGATGTCAGCAGCTTCCTCAATGGGTAGGAAGCTGTGGCCTCTGTGTTCCTGCCCATGACTGCACACTACACACAGCAGTTTCTTGTCAGATTCACAGAACAGCTTTAGTTCCTCCCGGTGTTTGTCACAGTGAAGTTTACTTTCCGTCTGTGTTGGGTTCAGGCTCAATTTTCGCGCTTTCTCTGCTAGACTCGCCAAGGCCCAACTGGCTCTGAGGTTCGTTTCTGGAAATGTCTCCTGACAAACAGCACAGCAGTTGATCTCCTGCTTTTCACAGCTCCGGGTGACACAGGAGCGACAGAAGTTGTGGCCACAGCCCAGGCTAACAGGATCAGTGAAGAAATCCAGACAAACCGGGCAAATGATCTCTTCGGTCCAGATCTCAGCCTGGAGTCCCAAAGCCATTTTGTACCTCAGCACTTCCTGATTGAAACTGGTTTCGGTTTCAGTGTGAGAGTGTAGGCGGATCCCAATTACTGAGCTGACAAACCCTCTCCTACAGTCACTTCTTGTGAAATCAGATGATTGTGACTTTGATCCCAAGAGAAGATGAGAGAGCCTTGAACAGTGACAAGGACACGCGAGAAAGGAAGGCTTTGGACTGTGGGGAAGCTTAGTGTGATTGTTGGGGTGGGGATNGGGGGGAAGTGGTGGGAGTATGACAAATAGCGCCATCAACTGGATTAGTTTGAGGCTCTGAGACAGACCTAATATCTCTGAGATGGTTTTCCGGAGCGCGGGGTGTACAGTGGCTGAAATCTCACACGGTGAGGCAGATGTTGGGTTGGGGGTGATATGAAGCAGCCGGCGTTTTTTGAGTGAATGTTGTGGACGGGTCAGTTGTGTTGGAGGAGGTGGCGGACGAAGGGCTGTGTAAGGCAATGAGGGCTTTTGAAATTGAAGGCATTGTCGACGACAAAGACCTTCAGACGGTACTTGAAGGATGTGAGGCAGAAGAAACACGGTTAGATTTGCAGAGTTTGGGGACAGAGATGCTGAATATCTGACCTCAAACGGAATTGTGGGTGAACTAAAACAGGCCGGTGTCTGCGAGTGGAGGGAGCAGACTGTCTGATATGCTTTTATGAAGTCGAAGAAATAGGGGGGAATAAGACCATGGAGGTGCCTTGAATGAAGGACAAGCCTGTTCTTTGTGCAACTGGGCTGGTCTCTATGTAACTGGCCTTCTCTCTGTATTAATGCCGGGCCTCTATATAACTCGTCATGGGTCTGCATAACAGGCTTGATCTCTGCATAACGGGCCTGGTCTGTTTATAACAGGTCTGTTCTATGTATAACAATTCTGGTCTCTGTATAACAGGCCGAGTCTCTTTATAACAGCTCGGATTCTGTATAGCTGCCTGGCCTCTGTGTAACTGACCAGGGCTCTTGATAACAGTTCTGGTCTCTGTAGGAAATCTTTGCACAGTGTGTAACTGGCTTCATGTCTGTGCAACATCACTGTTCTCTGTTTAAAAGCTCTGGTCTCTGCATAACAGACTTGGTCTCTGTAAAATTGGCCGAGTCTCTGCATACCAGGCCTGGTCTCTTTATAATAGGCATAGCCTATGTATAACTGGCCTGATCTCTGTATAACAACCTCGTATATGTATATCGGCTTGGTTTTTGTAAATATGTGCTGGTCTCGTATAACAGATCTGGTCTCTGTATAACCGACCTTGCCTTAGTAAAACTGGCCTTGGCTCTACATAACAAACCTGGTTTCTATAGAACAGCACTGGTCTCCTTTTAACAGGCCTCATCTTTGTATCACAGCTTGAAGTCTGTATAATGGGCCTGGTCTCTGAAAAGCAGATCTGGTCTCTGTTTAATAGGCCAGGTCTCGGTATAAACTTCTGACCAAGGGTCGTGGAGCAGAAACTTTGACTCACTTTCGTTTCTCCATAGATGATGCCTCACCTGCTGTATTTTCCAGCTCTCTCTGTTTTTATTTCAGATTTCAGCATTGCAGTATTTTGTGTTTTGCTCGCTATAACGTCTTGGTCTATATACAAGAGGCCTGATCTCTATGTAACAGCCTCTTCTCTGTATAACAAGTGTTATCTCTGCAAAGCTCCCTGCTCTCTGTATGAAATGACTAATTTCTGTATCAATTGCGTAGTTTTGTGTAACTGGCCTGGTCTCTTTATAACAAGTCTGGACTCTGTACGGTCTCTGTATAACTAGACGAGTCTCTGTATAACAGCAGGTCTGTGTAGAACTGTCTGGTCCTCTGTTTAGGAGGCCGAGTCTCCGTATAATTGGCTTGATATCTGTGCAAAAGCTTGGTCTCTGTATAACAGGCCTTGTATATCAACAAAAGGCCAAGTTTCTTTATGAGGTGCCTGGTCTCTATAAAAGAGCACTGGTCGCCATATGATAGCCAGTACCCTTTATTGTTGGCCTGGTCTGCATATAACAGGACTGTTCCCTGCATAACAGCCTCGTCTCTGTAATACAGGCCTTGTTTATCTATAGTATGTCTGCTATCTGCGTAACATCCTGGTCCCTGTATAACAGGATTAGTCTGTACATAAAAGGCCGCGTCTCTGAATAATAGCACTGGTATATGTACAGCAGCACTGTTCTCTGTATAATGGAACTGGTCTATCAATAATCGCCTAGTCTTTGCATAACACGACTGGACTATTTATAATAGGCCTGGTTTCTGTATCACAGCTGGTCTCTGCACAACAGGCTTTGAATACCTATGAAAGACCTGGTCTTTGCATAAGAAATCTCATCTCGTTACACGAGAACTGGTCTACATATAACAGCCTCGATCCTATGCAACCGGCGTAGTCTATGTATAATATTCGTGTGTCCTCTTTTACAGTCTCGTCTCTGTAAAACAATCCTTGTGAATGTATAATAGACCTGCTTTCTGTATAACAGCCTACTCTCTGTACTATCGGCCTAATCTATGTATAATAGGTATATTCTAAGTATAACAGGCCAAGTGTCTGTGTAAAAGGTTTGCTGTCTGTATAACAGCACTGGTATGTGTACAACAGGACCCGTTTCTTTGCAACAGCACTGTTCTGTGTATAATAGACCTTGTCTATCAATAGCAGCCTAATATTTACACGACATGCCCGGTCTGTATATAAGCGACCTGGTTCCTGTGTCGCATTCTGGCCTCTGTATAACAGTCCTGGTGTCTACATAACAGGCTTTGAATGCGTGTAAAAGGCCTAGTCTCCGTTTAAGAGGCCTAGTATCTTTGCAAGAGCATTGGTTTACATATAACAGCCGAGACCCTACATAATAGCCTAGACTATGTATAATAGGCTTGTTCCCTGTAGAAAAAGGTTGTCTCCGTAAAACAGGCCTTGAATATGTATAGTAGGCCTGCTTTCTATATAACAGCCCAAGTCTCTCTATAATCGGCCTTATCTATGTATAATAGGTCTATTCTATTTATAACAGTCGTGGTGTTCAATAAATGGAATCTTGTTGTTGTTGTTGTGTCTGCACAGCAACCTGGTCTCTGTGTAAGAGGTCTAGTCTATGTATAACAATCCTGTTCTTTGTACAACAGCCAAGATCTGTGTAAAACAAACTGGTCTCTTATAACAGGACAAGGTTTTGTATAGCAGGCCAGGTCTCTGTATAACAGACCTGTATTCTGTGCAACAGTCTGGGTTTCTGTGTAAAATATTGCTCTCTGTATAAATAGCCCAGTCTCTGTAAAACAGAAACCTGGCAGCGGCAACAGAGACAGAGAGAGAGAGAATGAGAGAGAGAGAGTGGGAGAGAGAGAGAGAGATAGAAAGGTTTTACAAAGTAATGACATATTTTCAAACGCTCAAATTTTATGATTATTTGTATTTATTGTTTATCGATTTTCTATTATCTATTATCTATTATTGATTATTATTTTCTCTTATTCAAAATCATTAAAAAGCCTGATAATAAATCCTAAGTAAAACAATAATACAATTATTCGTTTCAACCCACGGTTGTTTGTGTGCGACAGTGATGTGCGCAATTGGCTGCCGCGTTTTCCCACAAATACACAGTCAATTCACGAAACAGTTTAATCTGACGTCGAGAAGACGTGAAACGCGCTGTATCAAAGGCAACGATTATTATTATTATTATTATTATTATTATCAAAGAGAGAGGACACGGCGGCCACTGGTCAGACACAGTCTCTCTCTGTCCCTCTCTCTCTGTGCCGTCACAATCACAGCCACAGCCTGCGGTACAGACCCGGAAACCACAGTTCCCGGCATGCCTCACGGCTCAGAGCCCTCTGGTGACGGGGCCGGTCCGCGTGGGGCATCCTGGGAGCTGTAGTCAGTGTGAGAGACAGAGACACAGAGACAGACAGATGTCCACACAGTTTCTGTCACTGTGTCTCTGTATCTGTCTCTCTCACTGACTGAGTTGGGGAATGAGGAGCATGTCCTGACTCTCTGATGTTGATCTACAGTATTTGTGCTGGTGTCAGAGGAGGATAGATTCAGGGGCAACTCACACACACAATCTCTCCATCTCTCTCATACACAGTCTCTCTGTGTCTCATATACACACAGTCTCTCTCACACACATACAGTCTCTCTCTCTCTCAAACACAGTCTCGCTCTGTCTCTCACACACACAGTCTCTCTGTGTTTCATATAAACACAGTCTCCCTCGCAAACACACAGTCCCTCTCTGTCTCATACATACACAGTCTCTCTCTCTCTCTCTCTCTCTATCTCTCACACACAGTCTCTCTGTGTCTCATATACACACAGTCTCTCTCGCAAACACACAGTCTCACTCTGTCTCATACACACACAGTCTCTCTCTCTCTCTCTCTGTCTCTCACAAACAGTCTCACTCTGTCTCTTTCACACGCACAGCCTATCTGTTTCTCGCATGCAGTGTATCTCTGTGTCACACACACACAGAGTCAACAACAGCAACAACGACAACTTGTTTACATATATATATATTGCAACCTCCACTCCGGACGGCGTCTCAGAGCGCTTCAATTACGGGTACCGGGGCCGAGCCAGTGGGAGGGGCAGGACGATGACCAAAGGCGCTCGAAAAGAAAGATCTTCAGCCCAGACCTGAAAAGAGGAAGAGAGGGACCGAGGAGAAGGTTGTGAGGAAGGGAGTTCCAGAGACTCGAGGCATAGCGGCCGAAGCCACGGTGGCCGAGGGCGGAGGGGAGAACTCGGGGGACAAGGAGGAGGCCAGACCCGCTGAAGCGAAGGCAACTTGTACTGGTGTGGGGAGAGAGGGCAAAGAGGTCGGTGGGTGCAGAGGAGCGGAGGGATTGGAAGATAAGAGTGAGCGTCTTGAAGTCGACCCTCTATGGGACAGGGAGCCAGTGCAGTCTGCCAAGCACTGGGGTATTCGGGAAGCGGAGCTCGGTGCGGGTAAAAATGCGGGCGACAGATTATTGTACGCACT